CAAGAGATTTGAAGAATGAGCAGCAGCACTTGATGAATCTCGATCATTTGATCGTTGCTGCTGTGCTCCACTGCATTTTTCGCCTATAATTCAAGCCGTATCATTGCATACGAGCCTGAGCACAATGATTGATGTTTAAACGATGTAATTGACTAGAGATGGACAGCAATCAAACACTGGCAATGAGCAATCGACGAGATGCACACATGCAAGAATCGTCTTCTTGCACTGAATCCGATGTGCTTACCAATTCGAAAATTCCACCACCACAAAAAGTGATTCTGGTCGCATCAGGTATGGACGATGAGATGGAATCGCATGCAATCAACTTGGCAATTGAAGCCATTTCAATGTATGTTTTGTGTGTTCCAGCTTACAATTACATGCATAATTTCATTCATATTTAGTGATTCAAACAATACATGAATACAGCATCTTATTCATATTCAGTTGTTTGATTCATGTTCTTTTGAGTTTTCAATGGACTCATCATATGTGTCAGTTTCAGTACAGCAAAAAAACTTTCCGCTGAATGATTAGTTTCGCTATTTTTTGAAAGCGATTCAGACGTATCATTCTGATAATTTGCACTCATCTCACATCACATTAATCAAGTAGCGTTGATCACCTCAGAGAAATGCGGTAGCTGAATGAAAAAAAAGTTAAACAGCATCGCAAAGCACACAATATGAATTGAGTTCAATTTCAGATTTCCCGGTGAGAAGATGAAAATAGCGAAGTATATCGCGAATGCGTTCGAAGCCAACTATGCATCGTTGTGGCATTGTATTGTGAGTGATGGTCATATGCGTTTCTATGTGCGCTATGATGCCGATAATCATATCTATTTTGCTATCGGTCAACTATCGATATTTCTGTTTCGATTGCACCGTTCCAAGCCTCGTGCCGTGCTCACTCGTCTTGCTGCTGCACAACGACGAATGTCCGATGTTTTCGTCAAAATCGATTCACCACGAGACGACGTTCGGGTGATGAGCACTGGAATGCAATTGCACATGCAACATTACGCAATACGAATAACCGATGATGCCATTAATGAGTAGGTGACCGAACACTTAGTTCACGGTTATTATTTAGCAGTAACATTCATTCTATGGGGTAGTGAGTAGCCCAGAACTGGTTTCGTTTGGAATCGCCAAATCAACAATCCAAGTTAGAAATTCATGAAGACAGACGATTTTCAACGCTGTTCTCGTTAGCTGCGCGGAAAGAAGAATGTCACTGAGGTAGGAATGTGATATTAATGATATTTTTGATAAGAGAGGGACGTAAACTCCAAATGAGTTGCTGTATTTGATGACAATGAATAAATGAGTAACA